TTCCACACCACAGCATTTTAAGAAGTTGTGCCCTCCACCACCAAAAACCCCCAAACCTTCTTGGCTTGGGGGGGAATTCTGGGAGTTGAAGTCCACACATCTTAAAGATGCTGAGGTTGAGAAACACTAGCATAGAGAATGAGAGAAAAAAGAACCTCAGTGGGTCAGCCTCAGTCAATCTGATCTTGCAAGTTGGGCTGAAGAGCTGCAGAGCAAGTGATCTCTCCACAACCCATAATGGCAGAAACAGGATTGTGCAAAGCATGTGAGCAAGGAGACAACCACCAACTACTTGCAGTGGAGCTGTGTGGACCTGGAAAAAAAGAGATGCTTGGTCTGTGGCCCCACAGGTTGAAAACCACCTCTTTCCAACAGCTTTGCACAACCCTTGCTGGAATCCTTCCAGATGTGAAGTAGTTGAGTTGACTGGGAGCCTGAAACATCTCTACCTGGTACCCAAGTCTTATAACTCCCCATACGTGGCTGGCAAGGGCAAACACTGTACCTGATTAGGCCTAGGTTGATGGTGATTGAGCGTAAAAGTATTCTGCTAGTTTCATTTGAGCTCATTTTACTGCATCTACGTTTTAACGATGTTAAACCAGCACCATTTCTCCAGCACGGCAAGTTAATTTTGCCGAGTCTAATTCTATGAAGATATTATACGTGTTACCATAAGAGGGAGCTCCTGAATAAGGAATCATTATTTGGGGCCATTTCATGGAGAAAATCTATGTGGTTGCTAAGGGTCAACATGGGCTTGATTGGCACATAATCAATCCGTTGGGGGCTATGAATGAAATGAGTTTAAATACTGCTTCACAGACAAACTAACTGAATTTCTATTGTGGATCTACTTGGATTTACTTGATTTTATACATTTGGATTATTTTTAATCCTACTGATTTTCTGCATGTTAAGCTTTATATTTATTTTTCAATTTGTTTGGACTATCCTGTATTCATTCTTCATTGACACTAACACAATTAGTTCCAAGACAAAGAACTGAATATTATTCTGAATGACCAAAATATGTGTTTTATTAAGACCTTACTATAAAACTTGTATTTTAAGCACTTCCTTTACGCTGTATTGCATATGATTTTAAAGGAATTTATGGCATTTAATTCATCTTACTCTTAACATCATACTATCCTTTTCTGAATATGTTTGATGAAAATGCATTTCTTTAAGGATATAATTCTCATTTGTTACAAATATGTAACAGGAGGCAGAATAAAGAAGATTTGATAAGATGGGGAGAAGGCAAGGTAGTTCCTCTGTTGTTCTATCACAAAACAGAGATTTATTTACATGGGAATGGAGTAAGTTTCAACAAAAACTTGATTTCAAATATAAACATTCAGAAGAGAACGTTTCCATTCAATAACACAATATAGTCGTCAAATTGGTTTTCAATTAAAAAAAATATTTGAAGGCTGATTCCAGTGATAAATATGCTATGATAGCAACTCAGCTAGGACAGCAGGTTAAACACACTAAATATAGTCCCAGAATTATCCTTGGAACAGAAAAGTCAGAAATAAAGACGGAGTCTCATTGACAAATAACAGAAACGGAATTGTGTTGAAACCAAGGTCAGAGGGAAATCAGATCTGGGGAGAAATGATTTAAAAGCAGAAATGGAACATCGACTCAAACAAATAAAATCTGGATCTAAACAAAGACGAATCATTACAAATTCAAGAAATCTACAGAATAACTAACTCACGGACAGCATGTAGAAGAATCTTACCATACTTATTAAATTTATATATTTAAAGACAAAGGACGCAATCATGCCATTAAAAAGTTGTTACATTCCTTTAAAGCTTGGAGGTCCAATAATTGAGATAGTGCCAGATGTCCCCCCAGATATACTTAGAAAGCAAGGAGAGAACATTTTGACATCTTTTTCTCTAAGAAAGAAAGATCAAAAACAGGCGGGCTGCTTGGCTGCACTTTTAAGTATCTGTTCAAATAAAATATTGAGACGAAAGGAGATTCCACGGCTTTATTTGCCAACTGGGATATCCCCAACTCTCACCTGAGCTGTTTTCATCCATACCTTGAGAATCCAGCAACCAGGGTTCTTCTCCTCGTTCCAGACGAGAGATGAGATTAGGCTTTGGAACAGGAAACCCTTGACAGAAAATCAAATTAAAAATCACTGTCCTGAAAATACAAGGGAGAAGCAGAGATTGATCACAGCATCTGTTTTGCATCTGTTTAGCTCAGTGTTTCTCAACTGTGGCCACTTTAAGATGGGTGGATGCTGGGGAATTCCCCCCCATGCTGGCTGGGGAATTCAGGGAGTTGAAGTCCACCCATCTTAAAGTGGCCACGGTTGAGAAACACTGGTTCAGCTCAAAGAAGGAAAACTCATACCTAGGGAGGCCACGTTTTCATAATTCTCCACCATGACCTCTTTGTATAAAGCTCTCTGGGTTGGATCCAGGAGGGCGCCCTGGCCCTCGGTGAAATACACAGCCACATCTTTAAACGACACCAGCCTCTGAAAGAGCAAAGAACCTGGATTCAGTCTCCCTTGCCCTCCAAACCCCTCTTCCTGGGTCAGACGCAACTCTTTCAGCCAGAGACCCACGAGGGCCAAAAAGGAAAGTAGAAACTGATACCTACAATTGGCCCAGGAATGAAGGGAACATGGGCAGATCAACATCATCGTGCCCACGAGCCATGCTTTTTCCAGCACTATGACCCATCCATGCCCATTCCACCAAGCTCCTACTATGTAATAGCTCAACGTGGGGCTCAAACATAATAAATTATTCGTATTAGGGAAGAAAACGCGTTTAAGGAACCTATATTCTACACATGTGTTTTACTGGGTTCATCCTCAGTGACCACTGTTGGCTTTTTTATTCTTTGATAATACCGTGGCGGTCGTTGCTGTTGTTTTAAATTGTTTTAATGTGTGCCAGGGGACGCAGTGGCGCAGCGGCTTAATGACGCCGAAAGTTGCCGGCCAGAAATGGTCGACACTTCAGCGGTTCGAGCCCAGCTCCGCGCAGCAGAGCGAGCTCCTGCTTCCTCCCCAGTTCCTGCCAACCCAGCAGCTCGAAAACTTACGCGAGTTGATCAATGGGGACTCTCACCCCGGTGGGGAGGAAAAATGCTGGCGGCGCTTGCACGGGAGACGGGAGCAGTTGCCGGTAACGCGGAAGCCGCGCATGCCTGAAAAAGGCGCGAAGCC